TTATCTGTTTTCTCCCTCACTCTCTTCTCCCCGGTAATCGAGATCCCTTCTATGGCTCTCTCCAGCCGTTTCCGCTCCTGACGTTGTCTCTCTTCTTTCATTTACAACCTCTGTCATTGGTGACTGGTCATCCGCTTGCGCATCTGGCACAGCACTTCTGACAGAGGAGTCAGTATCTATCCCCGCTGAGTTCAAAGTACATTCACCCCTTCATCAGCGGTTCTGGTTTCTGTAGTCCTAAAGAGAAGAGCGTCCGCACCCAAGGCCGCATTCACTCCATAAGGAGCTACAGTGGTTAAAGTGGTTTCAGAGGATGCGTTTTTATTTGATTCTATATTGCCAACATCCATTTTGGTATTTGATTGAAAAAAAGGGGGAGAAAAATTCCTTCTGATTTTCTAAGAGCCAGTTTGGAGGGGCTAGCCCCGGATTCAGCAGCCAGCAGTGACCTTGGAAGAGCCCCTCCCCCCGCTCTGCCATGCAGGACCCCACCCAGGCACCACCTGGAACTACAAGGCAGGCAAGATTATACACCAGCTGATAGAGCAGCCAGGACATGCTGGTTAGGCTGCCCCGGGCTCCTGTACTATCTGGCGGCCTGAGACGCAAAACTCAGTTTTTCTCCTGTATCCTCTACATGGCTACTACCTCCAAGATCCCTCCTCTCCAGATCAAAGGTCCTCGAAATTTCAAATCCTCCCCACAATCGCCGGTTTTCCCAGGGAGTAGCGGTCCGTTGGGTCGTCATAAGGTTATTAATCATCAGACCGAACCTCATCCCACTAAACCCCAGTATGCCACAGGACTTTTGTGGCAGTTACCCATTTAGCACTACCCAGGGGGCACTTGTGACTTAAGGATAATCACAGACGCGGATAACATTACCCCCCAACATTGCTGTGTTAATCAAAGAAGATGTAATACAAGGAATGTTAATTAAAGCATTTCTCAAGTACATATTAGCTGCTACGGAATCGTCAAGGTCTGGCATGTTCACACTCTTTTTTTTTTTTTAGCACAATATTTCTTTGTATGTTCTTTCAATCTACATATTTACAGGGATACGGACAATATTTTGAAATATGACCAAGAAGATTACATGAAAAACATTTGGGTTCACCCTGGTCATTACGAATAACTTTTTCATTATCCTTATATTTATGTGTAGGCAAGCTATCTTTTTCATAATATTTATGGTTTCTCATCATATCACTGTTTTTGAATTTATTAGAGTCGACTCTTCTCGAGTTACGAGAAATCATTACTTGTGGAATGTTTTTAGAATCACCCCAAGCCAAACTTAGAACCTTTTTTAATTTCATTGCTTATATTTATTCCTGATCGAAAATTTTCATATTCATCTAATTTTCGAGCTAATTCATTCATGTTTACATATTTAGGCCATGAATCAATAAAATGCTCCTGCATAGACTTTGGAACCCGTTTTTTCGACTGTTCTGTTATTCTTCTTCGAATGAATCGAAATCATTTATTTTTAATCCTACTAGTCATCCGTTAAAATAGTTGGAAATTTTCGAAAATAAAATCTGCCCACGTACTTTTTGAATCCCTAGCATGATTAACAAATTTCTGCCGAAATTTTTCTGGGCTCAAGACATTTTTATAAGTTCTTAATAAATGTGTACTTATTAGCATGTTTTTCAGATTCTCTGGCGATTAATTGTGTAATCTCAAGTGGTAAAAAAATATAATTTTCATTTAACCACACCCATTTGGCTTGATGTTCAAATATTATTAAAAGTGAAGAGATGTCTCCATCATTTAAATCAAATTATTGCATAAGACAATTTTAAATTGATACATTTCTTCTTTCCTGGTGTGGTTATATTACATACTGTTGATGTTTTGAACATTATTTTACTTTTTTTTTAAGTTTTAGATTTTGCAATTCAAAATTCTTTGTTTTTCCTGTTCTGCAATTTCTAATTGTGTTTGTTTTTTGCATTTTTGAAAGTCTGACAGTACATGTTTTTCGAGTTCTGCAATTAATTGTTATCTTTCTCTTTCTATTTTTTTTATTTTCTTCTTGAGTCTTCCTTAGTAATCCTTTCAAAAACTTGTTTTACAAATAGTTCATCATAATTTTTACTATTAGTGATGATGTTTTTAATCATAACTGGTGTGACCGTGTGTCTGGTGGGACCGTTTCATTAATTTCTGTCACAAGTTTAAGTTAGATCGCTTTTGCATCTTTTCCCAAGGAAAGACATTGTAGAAATTTTTAGATTCAAACGGTACTTTAAGATACCTTTAGAGACGTTTAATAATTTTCATTGATAAGTTTATTAGTTTTCACCAATACATTTAGTAGCTTTCATTGATATATGTTTAATAGCTTTGAAGAGTCATTGATATGTTTGAAAGCTTTTATTGATGCATTTAGTAGCTTTCATTGATACTGTTACAAATATTGTGCACAGAAAGATAACTTTAGTGCAAGTAAAATTGTTGTATTTTTCTGTGTAATATAACGCGAAAAGTCTAAAGAGAGAAGCTATGCCGGAAAAGTAGGAATACAGGCACAAGTCCATTTAACATTGAGTAAATGGGTATCTCGGTAATTTGGTGAGATATCCAAGCTGACAACGGTTTTGGCGACTTATTTTGACTCCAAAGTTGGCGAGAATTGTAATTGATCACTATATTAGCTGCAACCATAATTCAACCCTCATATTGCTTTCCAGTAATTTCGAGAAGCATTTAGAATATCTCAGCGGCTAGTTGAAAACTATATAAGACCAGACTGAGCATGTGCGCTCAGTTGCTTAGTTATTGTTGTTGTGAGTTGTTAGTTCCACGTGAATTGTAGAAAACTTAGTGTTAAATTTATATTCGCTTATTGTCAGTATAACTCCATGTGTTTAATGTTTGTAACTATGTAATTCTGCATCTGGTAACTGGAGAGTGTATTGTTATGTTTTTGAATTTAATGAGACAATTATCTTCATATTCGTAGTTAGATGTTTTAAAATATAAGCGTTGTAATTATTAATGTTACAGAGAACAAAAAGAGTGCTAAGTCAATACTTTGTGTGTTATTTGAGTTTTGAGTATTAGGAATATCAATTTATAGCTGAGTTTTAAAATCGGTATCCGTCATGAATTAAGATATATCTGAGTTGGTTTTCTCTTTATATGCAGTTTGCATTGCATTGCATTGTGTTTAACGTTCATAGTAGTTTGATGCGTAACTACTGATTGTAGTCTGTGATACTGTGAACTCCTGTACGAGTATTTCTGTGGAAAATTCCGGAACTTTGAAGTGTTTATTTTGATAAAAAAAAATTATTAACCTTTCATCGGACTTGTGTGCATTCAATCTATTGTGAACCCATACGCGAGGAATAATATGTTTAAAAGCGTTGAAAAAAAGCATTTACCTTTTTCGTTTTTGCAACAGACCTTCAGTGGTATCCAAGTATGGTTGGTTGACATTAACATCCTTATTCTGAAATTTTGTTGGCTTTTTTAAACTGTGAGTCAACGGAATTCAACAATCTAAGGATTAAAACTTTATTTAATCAATTTAAAAAAGCTCACAAGCGGTTAGTATTGCCTCCCGTTCATTGTTACATTTAATCTCACATTTTATTTTTGAATGATGATAACGTCATTTGGTAGTGAATTGTGGAAATTGCTAACTTACTGAAATCACATGAGCATTTCTGTTTGAACGCATCTGAACTAACACTGCATAAATTTCAAGCTGGCAGTGGAAAGGACTGTTTAGTTATTTGGAATGCTATAAATTTTGTGTAAAAATTCAGGAAAGCACTACTGAGATGTTACAGCTGTTAAAATATGTATAAAGAGATTCAAAGGTAGGTGAGAGATACAACTATTGACCCCAGCAGCAAACAGCAGTGACAAACATTGATATTGATTGACAAAACATGGTCTAGTAAATGGTTAAGTGTGAAACTGATACTTGAAGAATGGTAGTGGTAATTTTAACTGAAGTTATGGTAATTTAATTGATTTAGTAATGGTAATGTTAATTGAAGAATGGGTATGTGAAATGTTTGTGCTTCACATACACAGTTACAGTGTGTTCTTAGTGAGAGATTCTCTGACCAAATTAAAAATTATTGCCCAATAGGATCATCTTGCCTATTTATCTGATTTACTGTCTTCTGATATTTAGCTGCTTCCAAAATTAAAGGTTACATTGAAGGTACAAAGATTTTTGTGACATAACTGTTATCTAATGGAATATGAGGCAGGTACTTAGAAGTATTCAAGAAAGTCACTTAAAAGCCTCTTTCTAGAAACATAAATCCCATCCGAGTAAATTGTATATTCTCAAGAAGAATACATTAAAGGCGACAGTATCCACTTATGTACAGTTTCCCGCATGCATTTTAAGAATTAAATTCTCACATCATGCATTTACTTTGATTTCATAATCTCTTAATTTTACTTACAAAGTTTTTTCCTTGTAACATGGACATTAAATTTCACAAATAATTCTAAAATTGTATTTTTTAAAGCCTTAAAAAAGGAATAGAATAAAAAAGTTCTGGGTACTGAAAAGATGTGTGTGTGTGTGTGTAATTATGGCAAAGCCTCGAGGGCTATCTGCCTAAGGGGAGGGATGCCTTCGTGGAGGACTTTCTAAGGGAACTGGCTCGTATACACGTAACACATGGGGAAAACCACGAAACGCCCATGTAGCCTGCCCATTCGCGGGATTCGAACCTCGGACCGAACTACCAGTGTTCAACGACTTTCTCAAAGAATGAAAATATGAATTATTAAATTTTTTATTAAAGAAAGATTTTGGGGGGGTAAAAAGTGGTGAAAATGTTGTCAAAAAGGAATATGTCGGGAACAAATTTATGTATGTAAACAATATAAAAATCCAATTTTAAATTTAAATGAAAATTCATACTGTAGGTTGTATTTTACTTTTGTTTAGAATGCTCCACATTATATTTTAACTTAGAAAATATTCAGACATATTCTCTCTTTCTCTCTAGAAAAGTGATAATGCTCCACAAACTAAAGAAGAACTTTTACAGCTACTTCATAGAGAAGAGCCTTTCATATTGCCTTTCAGTATCCTTTCTAGAGCTGCTGTTAATGCTAAAAATATAAGATTTTAGTGATTAATACTATAAAAATGATGTTCCCCTTCCCATTCGATTTTGAGATTTTTTCCCTCCCCTTTATACCTTAACATGAGTCTCTTATTAAATTTAACTGCCTTGTATCAAATTTTCTATTACCTATCTTTTTTTTAGATTTTGTAATCATTTTTTGCACCCTTGTTCTTATTTAGTTACTCTAAGCTAAATTTTCAGATTTGTACAGTACAAAGTCCGAAATCCGGACGTCCATAATCCGGAATGATGTAAAATCCAAACCTCAAAAGCACCAACAAAATTTTTCTCGTCGGCTTTATGCATGCGCATTTGATTTCCACCTCCGCGCATAATAAAACATCTGGAGAGTCTCGATTCTTAATTTCACTTCGACACTAAATAAAATACCGTTTTATTGAAGAAACAATAATTTTAGCATAAATTTGTGCGATCAGTAATTTGGCTCCGTTGCTGCATATTTGCTTGGCACGCATCTCAAACCGAAACATTCCACATAGATTCATCGTTGATCTGACGCCAACCCGGCAAATCATTATTTATTATACATTCATTTCATCACCGCATATTTATCAAAACATGACAACTTGAGTAATGACTCATGTAGCGATGCCTAAACAATTCCTTTATGTTAGTAATTGAATAGTAAAGGAATGTGGTAACCTTTTATGTTGACATTACTCTTGGCGATGATTATAGATTTAAGTTAAATGTACTAAAAAATGTTGACGAGGAAAATTTACTAAAACTTTCTTTTCATATGCTAAAAATAGATTTTGTTGTCGATACTCATAGACCCAAAGATTACATTTAGATTATAAATACTTCATTATTTCATAAATCGCGGTTTCATATTTTTAATTTTATAATTTCTACATGCCATCTTACTAGATTTAAACTGATGATCTATTATCCGGAAAAATCCGGAATCGCCGAAGTCCCGATGAGTCCGGACTTTGTACTGTATTATGTTTTATATATTTGTGCCGTATGTTTTTCATCGGAATTTATGTCTTATTTACAGGGTTCGTACGGTCCTTAAGAGGCCTTAAAAGTCCTTAGAATTTTTGGAATCGATTTTTGGTAATTAAAAGTCCTTAATTTTGGCCAAAATCAGCAAACAAGTCCTTAATTTTAATCATCTGAAATTTTTGTCTGTTTTTACGACTGTCATTTTGAGTGTGAATTAGCATTTTGAGGAATATTTTTGGCGATTCACTGCCATATATATGGTTATCTTTTTAATGTGTTCATGAGTTATAATTTGTTTCTATTTCTAATATAAACGATGGGATACTCAAGTTTCTAAGCAAGAAGTGAAACATAAGAATTTCGAAATTCATTTTTTCTAATAAACAGCTCTTAAACAACTTTTCGCTTTTGGGGATGTAAATTATTTTATAAACGGTTTTAAATTTGGAGACTTTTCAACATTTTGGCAATTTTAAGATCAGTTTCTATAGAAATTTTAATTCCGAGATCTGAGAATTCTTCGAAGTTTTCCTGTAAACATCGTAACATTGATAAATTTCATTAAAATAATGCTAATATATTGAAATGATATTTAAAAAAAAACATTTAAATAAAACATTTTTATTTTTCGCTGTCATATTATAAAGTTGCATTTTGGCAATATTTTGAATCTGAAAAATAAACAAGGTATAATGCTATAAAGCACAATTTACAAACAGCTCAAAAGCAAAATTAGCTATATAATTTATTAAAAATGTCTTCTTTTTAATTTTTTCATAGTAAGAGTTTTTCCCATGTAACTAATTAAGATAATCGTAATATAGTTAAATTACATTTAAGGAATAACAGTAAAATAAAATACTTTTATTTTCTTTTGCTGTTATATTATAAAGTAGCATTACTTTCCATTCTGGCGACTTATTATATAGCATTTTGAATTTTAAAAATAAATAAATAAATAAATAAGAACAAGTAATGAATGCTATAAAGCACAGTTTACAAAACATTCATAGCAAAAGCAAAATAGCTATATAATAATTAAAAATTTCTTCCTTTTAATTTTTTTCATGGTAAGAATATTTCCCATGTAATTGTCTCGGAATATTCAGAATTGTAAGAATATGTATCAGTTTTCTCTATAAAATCAATTTTACACTTTTTCTACTGCTTTTTTTTTTTTTTTTTTTTTTTTCCTCCAAAATATTTCTAGTCCTTTTTCTCTTGCAGAATTGGTAGGGCTAATTTTCCTTTAGGATTTTACCAAGGTGCAGTGTGTTGCAAAGGATTTGAAAGTAAGATTTACACACCCACAATTCTGGAAAGCTCCAGAAAAAATTGACAAAATGAAAATATTTTCATTGTATTAACACATAATGGATGTATTTTATAGAAGGTTTGCGATGAATTTCTTACTTTTTGGAGAAGATCTCGAAGAACAAAGAAAACATAATATTTGAATGTTTTACTTCTGATACTAGAATTTTTTTCTTAACATGTTTATCTTCCCTATCTTTTTCTCTATTTTTCACTAGACATAAGCATGGAAAATATCAAAAATGCCTCTAATCTTATCACATGGGCAGGCATTATAGAAAGGAATTTTTTTAATAATAAAGAAATTGAAAACTTACAATTTAAAAGATTCATTTAATATGTCTTAATGCATCATACACATAGCTGGCACTAGCCATTTCCCACCTGATGCAATCCCTGTGGATCCTAAATTCTGCTGCCTAGTGCCTTTCTAAATTCTGCTTCCAGTGCCTGCTCTAAATTCTAAAAGTCTTGCCATTTCTAGTTTTGTTTTTTTGGTGTGTCACTAAATTCTAAAATTCTGCCACACCAGCTCTGTAACCGCCCTTTACCATATATATTTCACATTTTTTCTGAATGTTCATATTACTAAAGAATAAAATTAGCCACTAGTCTATGCATTCTAAATGCATTAGTGTTTTTTTAGAATAACAGAAATCCTTATTTAAATTCAAAATTCGAATGGAAAGGAAACGTGTTGAAGAAAGAAACTGAATACATAAAGAAAACATTCTTCAAATATATAAGCAGTTATTATCATGTAAATTACCCAATTGTTTATGATTTCAACCTTTACTATAATTTCCCGTTTCTGTTTCCTCATATGATAGAGTTACTGAGCCATATTAAATTGTATAATCTTTGATCCCTAGTCCACATTATTAGTTTGAATTTGACTGCTGTTCTTTAATTATGTCACCGTGAGCAGTAATTGATTTTGTTTGCATCAGAACGTGCTTTTATGTTTCAAGTTCTTTTTAAATAAGAGGCCTATTGAAACCTTTGTCTGATATTGTCGTTACTTTCAGACAGTGATAATATGTTTCACGTCTGTCAGGGGTTTTGGACTATTTAACTTTTACCAGATCAAATAAACCCTCATTGGTACATTGTGGAGAGGTTGACAAGTTAGGAGATAAAGCACGCAGAAACTAGCAAGAGCACTGGTTTGCATATTGAGACAAATCTGTAATTGTTAGAAAAGATGCTTCAAGAGATGAAATCGATGTAAACGAGCCAAAATGTCTGGGAAGGCTTCAAATTAAAATGACGGGTAAATATTTTGTTGAGTGTTGTTGTTACAAAACATAAATGTTATGTACCTTTTAATGTGTAAATATCCTAATATCCTTCAAAAATCAATGTCATAAATTACATGTATTTTAAACTGTGAAATTTTATTGGATTTAGATTTTAATAGGTCTTTTTTAACAAATATTGTTAAAAAATAAAATTTAATAGTGATCATGTAAATCCATAATGACTAAGGTTATCAAACTACCTAATTTAATTTTTTATAACTAACTGCTTACCCTTTAAAATTATCTCTACATATTAACGCGAGTTACTGGCTTTCATTAATACTCACAACATAAAATACAAAAATGTAAAAATTGAAGTAAAACTTATTCCTTGCATCTACTGAGACTTAAAATACTTTCAAAAGTCTTTAATCTGGACATCCATAATCTGGAATGATCTATAATCTGGACCTCAAAGCTACAAACTTTCTGCGCATGCGTAAGCGCATATTGTGTTTACACATGCGCATATGCATTTACGCGTGCGCATAATACGCTTATGCATGCGCGTTTAATGTATAACAGACGGTATAAGCTAAGATAAAATTATCTAATTACCTATTTCAGTTAATGTTGCAGATTGCATTTTCCCTTAATCTTCGAATTGGATCCGGCTCATTATTTTTTGCAGACTGTTAGAACAATTTTATAAAAGTAAGCTTGAACTTTCGATTATGTCAAAAAGAATTTCCAATTCTGGAGCTGCCAAAGGATCTACAAAGCGAAAGCATATTTCAATGTCCATCAAACAAAAAGTGGAATTGCTGCAAAAAAATGGATAAAGGCATATCCTTTGTTTCTCTAACCATTCCAAAATCTGTTTATCAATTTCACGCTGCTCTGTGGAGAACGTCGCGGCATGCAATGAACTGGAAGTTGATATGTCAGCAGTATCCTTATCTTCAGGGCAGATTTTTTAATCATTCGGCTTATAATTCCTTACTAAATGTAGTATTTCATCTCGATGTACTCCGTCTTTGATATGATTTAAATCAAATTCCTTGTCATTATGAATATCATGAATACACATCAAATAGTTTTCTAGTTGCAATTTTCTAATTTCGACTATGCGTAATGTATGCTTTACGCATGCGCGCGTTGAAAGAAATGTTTAATAAAGTAAACAAATGAATATTAAGCTTTCTTTTTGTAAATTTTGATACCGTTTAGTTTATAATTGCTTTTTATTTCATAAATTGCGGTTTCGTATTTTTAATTTTATAATTTCTGCAGGCCGCCTTACCAGATTTAAATTGATGATCTATAATCTGGAAAAACTGATAATCTGGAATAGCTGAAGTCTCGACGAGTAGAGTTTAAAGACTTTTGACTGTAATACAAAACAACATATCACCTCTGGTGCTTTAATGGGTTATTGGAACCTTAAAGTATATTACCTGGGTTACAAACCCTGGAACTCTACACAAAGCTATGACACTAACTGCATCAAACAGAGCCTGATCAACTTTCAACACTTGTCAACCGTGCCTACATCAGCCCTTTCAGGTTTGTTCTAATCAGGAGGTCTCTCTCTAGACAAACAGCAGCACTGACAACGTTCAGTCTTTTGTTATGAATCATGCTGATTATGAACTTACTTCTCATTTTAACATATGTCATTTCACATAAAATCTACCTGCTAAATACTAAACCACTGGACTGACCAAGTAGATGACAAAATGAGATTATAAAAAAATCAACATAAGGCTAGCTGTTAATAAAACATAAATGTCATTTATTTTATTTTTTTTTTTTTCAAATATGACTAACTATTATAAGTATAAAATATTTAACCCCTTCGAGCCAGGTAGCGAAAACGCGAGCTTATCGCTGAGGCCGGCAGTGTCTTACGCGAGCGTCTCTCCAGGGCCGGGGGCTTTTTTGCTACTAAGCCTAAATCCATGAAATTTCCGAAGTATCACCGCATTGTTTAATAATGCTCTATAGAGTATTTAAACGGCTTATGCTTTATAAATATTTTTATATATATACTTTAATTACCTTATTTCTTGTTTAAATGCATATTTTACGCATTTTATTTTAATTACTCGTCATTTTATGAATTTTAACATTATACATCTGAAAACTAAATATATTACTTAAAATTCTCTTTTCGTATGAAAAATTTGAAAACAGGGATCTGCACACAGTCCTACATTACATTCCTTGCACTCGTAATAACTCATTTGCCGTTTTGGAGGATTTTTCCGGGAATGTGAACAAACGAAGCATCGTCGTCTCATTTTCTTATCAGTCTCTTCTGAACAAAGTTTTGGAAAATGTCTTTCAGAATCAATATCTGAAATATTTTGCATCATTTCTGCTATTTCATGCTCTGTTAAACATTTTCGACGCTTCGACATTGCAACGGTAAAAACAAAGAATTCACGTCTAACAAGATCTAATTATTTTCTAAAAACTGAACTGCAAACCGAAATACCCAACGCTTTAGAGCAAATAAAACTTCTCTACTTACAGTAAACAACTACCACGTGCGAATAAAGTGCGATTTAAAGAGACGTCATAAATCACGCCATTCGGAAACATTTATTTCCCCGTTTGTTTATATAATCAAAAACACGTGTATGTGAGTCATGCTTCTCTCATTTCGAGTAGAAGGTCTAATTTACATGTATCTGAAACCATATGGACATACAGTGCCATCTTGTGGCAGAAATTATAGTTTGAAAAACGTTCCAAAGTACTGGCACAAATACGTGACAGTCGGTAGAGAATGGAACAATCCTCTGGCACGCCTGCGTGTCGGCCGGTCGGTAAGTGCGTTCGTTGCTGGCACGTATACGTGACAGTCGGCGCAAAGAGGTTAATGCTACTTGATAAAATGCATAAAGTTTATTTTATTCTCAAACTTATTAATAATTACATTAATTAATTCATGTTTAGTAATAATGCATACTACTTGGGGATCTATTTTATTTTTAGGATGGTATTACAAAAGTGAAATTCAGGCATACATAATATTTTTAATTGAATTTATTCAGTTCTCATTTGTTCATAGGTCGTTAATGTTTTCATTAATGTTCCCTAAAAGTCCTTAAAAGTATACTTAATTTCCATGTGCAGAAATGTGTATGAACCCTGTATTTATGATAAACTAAACCTTTTAGAAGAATTTGAGTGTAATCTTATGTGAAAGAAAGCAGCAAGTGCTTTTTCTTTTTAATTGCTAATTAAAATAAAAGAGCAGAATTAAAAGAGGTAAATCGTCTAATTTTAGAAAAAAAAAATTTTTTTTAGCTTTACTTTTTAATTCATGTGAAACTGAATAATTCAAAAGCACTTATTTTCCTAAAATGCCAGTCATAGTGCAGGGTATTAATATTAGGTAACTGTATGTTAACTATTTTTTTTTTTACAGTAGGGTAATTGTGAGGAAGCAATTTTTAACTCAATAGCTATTCATGAGACTGAATGGGTATAGACATGTGAGAAAGAGAACATAAATATCTTCTTTCCTTTAGATGCCTCAAGCATGATATACTTATAATAAAAAACTATTTAATGCTGTAAATGGGTTTCAAAAGTTTATTCTGAAGTGGAAGTTTTTTTGTTTGTTTGTTTACAAAATGCAAATATATGCAAAAGACCATGACCATGAAGAATTTTCCAAATATTTCTCTGTATTTAGTTGAGTTTCCAATGTTGTTAATTAGCCATACATTTTGTGAATTTAGACCTTTTTTTAAATGTTAGTAATCTGACCGATACAAATCCAGGAATTTCTGAATCTAGTGAATCTCATAGAATCACTGACTACTGGAAGTGGTATCGAGCTGATAAGCCCTACGTGCTTAACACATTTTGTGATAAATATGAGCCTTACATTGTTTTACAGTAAGTAAAAATTTATAACAGTTGCCAATTTTGCTTTCTGATATAATGATAATGCTATATTTTTTCTTCTGCATAATTCATATATCTGTAATGTGTTTAAAGTTGTAATGTGTTGCATGTATTTTCAATAATTTGCTCCTTTTTTCCCCCTTATTCAAGTAAATCAAGTTCAGTTCCATTATATGATGAACGATTCACAGGTTATGGGATGAATAAAGTGACTCACATAACAGAACTTTTTGCTGCAAAGTGAGTATTGTACAAATGTTTTGAATCTTTGCTGTTAAGATGTATCGTATGTTAAAAAAGAATGCAGAATGTATATTTTTTTATACCTGTATTAGTATTTTTGCTAGGTTAGGTTATTTGAATATGGCAAAGCACACCTAATTAGAGGGTTGACTTCATGGAAGACTTTCTCAGGAAAACTGGTTTGTATTCATGTTACACTCTAGAAAACCTTGAAAGCCAAAAATGAAGCCAGCTTGCTTACTTAGGATCAAACCCGATCGAACTCGTGGCATTCAACAGTCTTAACCATTCAATCACTGGTGGGGCTAGTGCATTTGTATGTGTGTTGTATTTAATGTGGTATTGTTTAAAGTTATTTAACATTAATGTAGTAGTTATGTTACCAATGTGTTCATCAAGAAATTAAGCATCTATGATATACTGCATCAGTTTTCTCCTACTGGTTGATTTTCATTGAGTGAATCCAGCAACAAGACCAGCAGATTTGAAAATTTTGAAGGTTGCCAAATAGTGGTGTATTGTAAAGTCTCATTACTGTTTACAATATTTTAACTACTTATCTATAGAATATTAGCAGTTAATTACTTTACTATTATGTATTCCTAGATGGGTAAATTCACACACACATATATATCCATCTATATATATATATTTTTAATTGAGAGTTCAAGGTAGATTTATTGAGATTATGACAAAGCAGGCTATAGCTGTCTATTTAAGGGGATGGATGCCTTCATGGAGGACTTTTCTAATGAAAACTGACTCTCATGCACATTACACATTGTTCAAAGTAGGGAAGACATTCCTTGTTAGTGGTCAAAGATATGAGAACATAAAAGTAGATGAATAAAATCGTATCATTTAGCTGAAAGAGACCAGTTGTTTCTGCCAATCTATCATGTGGCATTTCCACTGGATTGACATAGTAATCTAGCGATGCAGTACCAATCATTTGTTGAAAGCATAGTCTAGCAATACACACTCATTAGACATACTCTGATGGAGCATATCCTATGGATACGTAAAATGTCATGATAAATTCATGAGTATTTTTGATAACTGGAAAAAAGGGCAACCATCATGTAGCTTTCAACCAATGAGCAATGTGGCACATTTAGTGGCCTATCTCAATGTACCTGGAAATGCTCAGTAACTAGAATTTGCATTAATTGTGGCAAAGTTGCATGTCATCTAATATGATCTGACTGAGGAACAATGTTTCTACGATTGCTGAAGGAAGCATTTGTAAGCTCCTTCTTAGTGGCATTTGTATCATTTCCTTGCAAAACAGCAATTCTGTCAACCAACATCCAGAGTGAGCTATGAAATTTCACAAAGTACAGTACAAAGTCCGAAATCCAGACTCGGTGGGACTTAGGCGATTCTGGATTTAGGATTTTTCTGGATATTAGATCATCAGTTTAAATCTAGTAAGATACCATGTAGAAATTATAAAATTAAAAATATGAGAATAAAAGTATTTATGATCTAAAAGGTATCAAAATTTACAAAAGAAAAAAAAAAAGCTTAATATTTATTTGTTTACCTTCTTAAAAATTTCTTTCAATGTAAGTTGTTTAAATTGCTTCATTTGTGCTAATACTTTCTTTTTAATTCTCTATACAGACATAATCACTTGTTTAGTTACATTGTTGAAGTCCTGTAACTGCTTTTTCGAGAATTCCAACTAACTTGTCGATCAAAATTTTCTTGTTTTCAGTAACTTCTCTGTCCCTTTCTTCACAATCGGTAGCATTAATTTCTGGATCTAGAACCATACTACAGATTTTGCCATTCATTAATTGATTGATGATTGAGAAGCATTGTCATCACAATGAAAAACTTCTTTTATATCATCTTCATTTATTACCGCTTCTCCACATTTCTTTACAAAATCTGTTAATTGGAAAATTTCACCTTTGTTTTGCGATATCTGAAAATCTTTAAAATTTGTGGCTATCATAATCAGATTTAGCTATCCTGCACTATACACATTTGGCTATGCATCATGAGCTTGGCAACTAATGACAAATTGTTCCGTTAAATTTTATCTTCCTTCTATCACGCACTGAGACAATTAAGCCTGAATTGTATTAGTTTAGTTATTTATTATACTTATGTCTATTTCTTGCACATGCTTAAGGCTTATCAGAGTTCTGAATAAATAAATTCCCACATATACTCGAGCCTTATTGAGGGCCGGCACTAGATATCGTATCGCCTGATGCAGTCTCTGTGGTTCCTAAATTCTGCGACCCAGTGCGGCGGTACGAGCCCTGGCGCTGGTTCTGGGTTTATATATGAATAACAAATCAGTTATTCTTAATCAAATAGCCCTAAACGTAATCTTTGGGTTTCTGAGTATCATCAACAAAATCTATTTTTAGCATATGGAAAGAAATTTTTGGTGAATTTTTCCTCGTCAACATTTTTTAGTGCAGTTAACTTAAATCTGTAATCATCGCCAAGTGTAATGTCAACATAAAAGGTTACCATACTCCTTTATTATTCAATTACTAACAGAAAAAAAATTGTTTAGGCATCGCTAAATGAGTCATTACTCAAGTTGTCGTGTTGATAAGCATGCGGTGATAAAAGGAAAGTAAAGGGTGATCTTTTTTAAAGTGACAGTGTTTGGAGCGCCTGTAGCGCGATCTAATAGCGAAATTGCACCAAACTTGGTATTTAGACTAACCAAGACATGGGGAAAAAGATTCCGTGAAAAAAAAATTTATTTCCAAAAATAGCCGCAAGGGCATTTTGTGGCGCTGCTGTAGCTTACAATAACGAGAATTAGCATAAACCACGGGTATGAAAGCAAAATGCAAATGTTGTACGATGACAGCGCCAGTAATAGAGGCTATAAAAGCAAGTAGTAGACAGCTCCGACAAATAATCTCAGCTGATGTAAACTAGCTCCAGTGGACATGCCTCTCACGTTAGCGGAATGTGCGTTACTGGAGAAGCTGTATTACATGAATCAATGTAATGCATCCGCAGCTCTTCGGGAATTTCGAACCAGAAAAAAATTACCAAAGGGGCCTTTATCGCTGAATGGTCTTAAGAAAATGATTAAGGAAGTTCGAGGAGAGGAAACGGGATCACTGACCATTCGTGCTGGGAGAGAACGTAAACCAATATCAGAAGATGATGTAATAACTGATGTGACAATTGCAATTGTTGAAGGATCGCAGGGAACCATTGCTGGTACTAGCAGCGCCCGGGGTGTAGCTTGACAATTGGACATGAATTATTCCATGGTATGGAGAGTTTTGCGGCACATTATTGGATTTTACCCCTACAAAATCAGCCGCTTTCACGATCTGAAACCAAGTGATTATGATAAGCGAGTGACATTCACTCTATCGTTTCTTGCTAGGGTAGAAATTGACGATGCTTTCCCATGGCACATTCTGCGGGGAGATGAGTGCCATTTTTATCCCAATGGGTCCATAAACACACAAAATAGCCAAATTTGCGCTTCTGAGCAGCCCCACACCGTGCACGAAATCCTGTTAAATTCCCCAAAAGTCACTGTTTGGTGTGGTTTCACAGCCGAATTTGTAATCGGGCCATTCTTTGTTGAGACATTCACTCCGACAGGACCCCAAACGTGCACCATAAATGCAGAAAGGTACCATGAAATGCTGCAAACGTTTGTTATTCCACAACTTCAGGAAAAGAAACCGTCTCCAACAGGCAATCTTTATGCAGAATGCTGCATAAAGATTGTCTGTTGGACAATCTTTATGCAGCATATGCTCCGCCACACATTGATCCTTTAGTAATAAGGTAAAGCAGCTGTTGCGACAAAACTTCACTGATGATAGAGTCGTAAGTCGCAGTTTTCCAATTGCATGGCCGCCTCGTTACCCTGATCTCATGCCATGCGATTTTTGGCTCTGGGGTTATTTGAAATCTTAAGTTTATGTTGGTGGAGTATCAAATTTGTCTATCCTAAAGGACAACATAACAAAGACAGTGCGGAATATTCCTCATGATATGTTACATACGGCAGTAGAGAACGTTGTGCACAGAATGCACTGTGTTATTTCTGAGAACGGTCTTCACAATGAATGTGGTCTAATTCCTCACCGGGGAAGTTAATGTAGTAAGTAAACATTAATAATTTAACTGTACAATTGTACGTCTTGATGTCCCATGTCTTGATTAGTCTAAATATTAAGTTTGGTGCCATTTCGGCTATTAGATCGCGCTTTCTCTTTGAGATGTTTGCCAAGCAGATAAGCAGCAACGGAACCAAATTACTGATCGTACAAATTTATGCTAAAATGATTGTTTCTTCAATAACAAGGTATTTTATTTAGTGTCGAAGTGACATTAAGAATCGGGACTCTCCAGATGTTTTATTATGCGCATGTGCATGCATAAAGCCTACGACTAAAACGTTGTTGGTGGTTTTGAGGTCCGGATTTTAGATCATTCTGGGTAATGGATGTCCGAATTTCAGACTTTATACTGTATTGAATTTTAATTAAATCTAGAATAGAAAAACATAAATAATTGTACATGAAAAGGGACACATTTTAAAATTAGAAATCTCTAAAGTTAAAAAAAAAAAAAAAAAAAAATCACAAATTATAACAGGAATGAAAATAATGAGTAAACGTAATTTTGCCAGAAGTTACTACATATTTTCTTTCTTTTTCACGTCAGTTGATGATCTAGAACAATGGTTACCAAACATTTTGAAATGCTGACTCCTTTTCAGAATCCTATGGTGGAGGCCCCTTAGGCCTATTTTAAGTCTTACAAGTTAATAACATTTAGGATTACTGTGAAGCAGAGGAAGAAGGGCTAGGTAGTGAAGGAAAGAAAAGTAAAGAGACATTAAAACAGCTGTGCAGTATCCGTGCAATGAAATCAGTTTCAACAGTATCTTGGTTTATTCTTAACTATTACCAGTGTACATAATATATTAAAAATTTTGCCGTAAAATTATTTCACAGTTCAATAAATTAAACCATTTACTTAGC